TATATATAATATATAAGGTAATATAAACACGTGTTGCCAGTGGGGGTTCTGTGGTCAGCCAACTGAAACCAAAGGATTCCTGGTGTGGCATCTCCATGGCCATAGCCCAGGGGAGATGCTTGGTTTGGTTCGGTCTCTATGATGAATGTTTTGCGAATTTCCTGCATGATTATTGCACGGCGTGGCCAACTGGCAACAGCTGTTAGCCATGCGGCCAGTTGCAATAGACAGCCGGAGTCAGTCTGTTGCAATGCCAGGACGTAGACAAGGTCAGCTGGCTGAGGGCATTGCATACTTTCGAGCTGAATTGCAACGATGCGAAAAGCTAAGCGAGAAGACATGATGGATGGATGCAGTGTTGCCATTGCTGTATTAGACCATAACAAAACAAGAGACGTCCATTTGGATAAATGCATTCAGATAACACATTAATCAATTTAATGGGAAACTACAATATGTGGTAATTGTAAATCTGATACCATATACTGCTGCAACAATTGAAAAATAAACAAGCTAAACAGAAGCTCTTTCCATTACCCGTAAAGCTATATAGAGTACGGGAAATAAGATCTCAAGAGAAAGAGCAGAAGACAATGCAGCGCAGGTGATGCACTGGCCAAGTTTCCGAATGGTTGCCCCATCACGCACTCTGCTGCAGGACATTCCTTAGAAGGAATGCAAAACTCGCTCAGTGTAGCCAGGACTTTAGTGACAAATGCTGGCAAAATAATAGGAGAGGACAAACGACAAAGCTGTCACAGGACAAAAGCAAAGCGCAAAAGCATTTCAGAGCGGACACAATTACAATCTACGGGGAGCCTGGCTACACTCGGCGCTATGCCATGGAGTGGCTAGCAAGTCCATAGGATAGAGTTTTCCAATGCAATTAATCCATGGGCAGCAATTTTGTGCGGCGTAGCTCTTGACATTTTAAAACAGGATGGAACGTCAGCTTACAAAAGGATTATAGTCTTAGCTGTTAGTCAGAATGGAATGTAAGCCAGCAGCCATGACGGTCTTGTTAAGTAAGCTTCCACGGAAGAGAGAGCTGACCAGCGCAGTCCAGCGCTAATTGTAGCGGCTTGCACCTTATGCGCTAAAGGTCTGGATGAGCTTAGAGCTGACAGCAGCTAGCGAAAAGGCTGGGCAAGAGGCTAAATTTGAGGCTAAGAAGCTACCTAAGAGACTAGCCAAGAGCCTAGCTAAAGGGCTAGCCTAGCTAAAGGGCTAGCTAAAAGGCTAACGAAAAAAATGGCTAGAAGGCTAGCTAAAAGGCTAACAAAAATAATGGCTAGAAAGTCTTTTAGCTAAAAGGCTAGCCAAGAGAAAAGATACCCAAACGGATAGCCAAGAGGCTAGCCAAGAGCCTAGACCAGAAGCTAGCCAATAGTCTAGCACAGAGGCTAGCGAAGAGCTTAGCCCAGCTAAAAGACTAGCTAAATGGCTAGCCTCTTGGCTAGCTCTCTTCTGTTCCAAGGACATATATGAGTTTCCCTAACGTCAAGTTAAAACAAAAAAAACTGCAGACAATGCGTGCCAACGTGTACTGTGGTACAGGCGATGGATGCACTGGTCAAGTTTCCAGGTGGTTGACCTATGAAGGACGCTGCTTGGAAAGAATGCAAAGTTTGCTCAGAGGCAACAAACGACAAGACTGTCAAAGGACAGAAACAAAACTCAAAAGCATGCCAAAGCGAAGACAATTGCAATCTACGAGGAGGCTGGCAGCCCTCACGGTGCTCACTCAATGGAGCCGCACTTTTAAAGCATCCGAGTGGCGATGGCGTTGGGAGCAGAAGGATCTGCGTAGTGCAAAGAGTGAGCTCCAATTGCACCTCAATGGGCAGTCGCAGGCAAAGAACTAAACTCACAAACACAATTGACTCAAGTTGAAGTCCGTGAACTGTTTGAGCTGGTCGCAAACGTAGTGCTCCTGCAGACTGTCAAAGGCGCAACATGACACAGTTACATAACAGTTAAGTTTCTCTCTCACGTGCTCAGTGTGATTAGAGCCGGCAAATTAATTGAGGTATCCGGCATTCGAATAGAATTTTAGACTTATATTATACGGGCAATTGACTAGGCTAAGCACCGTTTCAAGTGTCAAGATTGCCGTAAAATCGTAGGCGTGGACATCAGCGAGACAAATTTCAGCATTGAGCTATGGCAATTACGGTAAAGAGCTATAAAAAAAAGGTGGTTCTAATTATACTCTCTCACAAAACCAGAGGGGTATATCAGTTTTATGAACTGCAAGTTTTCCTATCCGTCCAACTGTTTGCTTTGACGCAAATCCTTTCATCGCCTTCACAGCTAGAGACTAGAGAAGCGGAGCAGCTTGTAGTTCAACAAGTGCCTTCCTTCATTTATGCTGCGCGTCTGCAGAATCCAGCGGAGTAAACAACGGGATTATTGGGATAAAGGTAGCGTGAAGCGCAAAGCGCAATGCGAGCCATTGTTTGCGGTCGTCCCTCAGGCATCACGCTTCATGCGTCGCCACATACTCCCAATAAATATAAATTTCTTTGCTCCTAAATGTATTTGAAAACAAGCACGAATGCTCTAACCGGGAGTGCCTGACTAGCAGATACCCTGAGCCCTGCAGTTGAGATGCCTTTAGGTAGTGCTCTCTCTACTATTATGGTGAATATTGTTGTATATACACACCATATGTGTATTTCATATATAATTTTAAGATTTTTGTTTATTTAAAGCTATGGTCGAATAACTAAATCGAATGATCGATTTTAATCGATAACAATGTTATGGACTGATTTATCACAAGAGAACTATTATTTACATTATCTTTCTATATTTTGATTATTGATCTAGGCTATACGAAGTCGTTGTGTTCATATGGACAGACCTGCCCATATCGAGTCAAGACATCATTCTGATTGAGCCAGTATCGGTTATTAAATAGGTTTGACATTTTTTAACATACCCCGAATCAATTGAAATAATTTATGGCTTATTAAAAATTTAACCTGTTGTACTCTTTATTATTTGAGCTATCCAGCGACATTTAATTTTTAATAAATATTTATTACTGGAGTACTCCGCAGGACTTTAATAAGCTTCAAAAAAAATTTATTTTAATA